GGCTCAGTCCCGGTTGAACGTCTCCAGGACGGTGGAGTTGGTGTGCTCGAACAGCCACCGCTGGGTGGGGGACGCAGGGTCGCAGACGCTCATGAAGACCCTGTGGTCACTCGGGCTGCAGTCCATGCAGCTGCCGCTGACCGGGTGGAACAGGCTCTTGTCCTGCGAGACAGGGGCACGCGGGCGGCCCGGGCGCGGCGTCAGGCAGCGGAGACGAAGCCGCCACCAGCCCCGCTGGGCCGCCGGGCCGGGCCTGGCTGGGTCACGCTCACCGGAGCCGGGCCAGGCGGGGCTTTTCCTTAACAGGCCCGGAGGGGAGACCTCGGCTAGAGGCCGGGCAGGGGGGGGGGCAAAGGAGCGGGGGAGCGGCTCTGCGGGGGAGGGAGCCGCCCCGCCCTCGCTCACATGACCACAGTGGGGTGCCCCGAGGCCCCACTTACTGTGCGGTACTTCCACAGCTGGTTGCCCTTCATGCTGTGACAGTCGTACAGGGTGACCGGGCTGGTGTGCGACACGGCGTCCAGGCAGAACTTCTTGGTGTGCAGGGGGTCCCCGGGCCGGATGTCCTCCCTCCAGGTGAAGGTGAACACCTGGACCAGGGACGGGTCAGACGCGGGCGCTCTCTTCCCTCACGAGGCCCGGCAGGGGGCGCTGCCTGCCTCCCGCCAGCCCCCCTTGTGGGTTCCTGGCTCTGGCCAGGCTGGGCGGCTCCCCCCACAGAGGCGGGTTCTGGACACGCCCCGGGGACGAGCCCCACGAGTCTCCCCGCCATCCGCAGCTGTCCCAGGTGCGCGGGGCGGCAGGCAAAGGTGTTTCCACCGAGCGTGAGGCCCGGGCAGACCCCGCAGCGGGCACCGGCTGGTGGGCTTCCTCCCGCGGCAGCTTACGGGACCGGTACATGGCAGCGAGGACTGGGAGTCTGCAGTGCCCGCTCGGGAAGGGTACGGACGTGCCCGGCACCCCCAGCCCTAGGGAGTCGCGTCCTGCTTCCCGCCCACCCGGCTCCCGACCCCACAGGGGAAGGCATCACCGCGAGCTCCCCCTCGGGCTGAGTGCTGTCGCGGACAACACTCCGGGCCTCGGACGCCAGCGTGGACGCCAGGGTCGTGCCAGCTCGCGGCCCCAGCAGCACGGTCCCCGCACTGTTCTGGGGCACCGGCTTCTCGTGGGGGTAAAACACTGGTGCTGCTGGCTGGGCCTGCCCTGCGCCAGCACTGCCAAGATGCTGGCGGCGCCCCGCGGGGGCCACAGGCCGTGCAGGACACCCCCCTCGCAGCCCCGGGCCGGGTTCACCACGGACCCGGTTTGGGCGTCCGGGGCTGCCAGGCGGCGAAGCGGGCGTTTGGCCGATCCTATTGGCACGGACGCCCCTCTTGCCAGGGTCTCCCCGGCTCTTCTGCCCGCTCCTGGCGGGTGGTTTGCGCGTCAGTTCTGAGTCTTCTGAGTCCAGCGCGTCCTCCGGCCGGCGTCCCCAGCTGGCCGTACCCGGGGCCGCAGCGCCGTCGTTGGAAGAACAGGCTTTACCTTGCACAAGTGGCTGGCGTTTGGGTCGCGGCCCAGAGTCACGGCCGTGTCCAAGGGCAAACACTTCTGTTTTCTTAACAGAGGTTGTGTGTTAGCGTCCACGTTTACATCAAAGATCCACCTTTAAACCTTTTTTTTTTAAATGATCCATTTTGAGGTGACTTTTGCACATAGTATGAGGCGCGTACGGAAGCGCTTTGCCTCTGGGACCCCAGATTCAGCCCCACGGTTGAAAGACGCCCGTCTCCACCGAACAGCCTTTAGACCTCTGCGGAGGTCAGTGTCCTGGGCGTCACTGCAGGGTGCTCGGTGGGCACGGCGGGGGCGGCCTGGCCACCGCATGCCCCCCGGCGAGGGCGGCTGTCCTAGGCCTGCCCAGCCCCAGGTCCCGAGCCAGGGCTCAGTTCCACGTGAAAGTGTGCTGGGCGGCCCGGCCTGTGTCCAGTCTGTTTTGGTCTGGAAAGAGCTGATGTCACGGTTGGGTCTCCTGGCCTATGGACACGGCAAAGTTCACTTATTTACAACTTCAAATTCCGTCAGTTAAAAACTAATTTTTAAAAATGGATCTTTGACCTGGGTATTTCGTGATTTCTTGTGTTACAGTACACACTTGCTTTGAATTGCTATTTCCGATTCTTCATTATTCGCATGCGGAAATAGAAAATACCATCTTTAGATCTTGCAACTTTGCTAAACTCATTCTGGGGAGCCACGGAGCGGCCTCGGCGGGTGGCTGGAGTCCACGGGGCGGCTGCCCTCTGGGTGCAGTGCGGCAGAGAGGGAGCTGGAGTGGGGACCCCCAGCGGCCGACAGTTGGGCCTGGATGGAGTGTCCACTCTGCGGAGGCCGTGGCACTGTGGTCCTGGGGTGCTGATTTCCAGATGTGTGGGTTTTGTAGCGCGACGCCCCCTCTTCTCTGCGTCAGGAAGCTCTCGCGACTCCTCCCCTGGCTGATTTCCCGGGGATGGACTGTCCCCGTCACGGCCAGCCCTTCCCTGACTAGAAACAGGTCCCTGCCTGCAGTTCCCCACCCGCCCTGCCCTGGCACGAGGCCCCACCTCGGCCAGCCCTGACTTGAGGCCCCGCTGGTGCCCAGGCAGGTGGCGCGAGGCCCCGC